GTCACAATCAGGCCCAGATCTGATTTGTGCCACCGCGGAGCTCAGCCCATCATTTTGGAGGCTTGAGCCAAGAGCCACCTTTTCTGTCTCTTCCATCTTGCAACTTGGAACGGCGTCCTTCTCCGACCCCTCTCAGCAAGAACTGCAACAGCACTATGAGCTTGAGCTTGATCACGACTGTGCGTGCGCTTCCCAGCGTTTCGCTGCTCGCTCGCCGCTTCGCCGGCCAAAACGTTCGCCTTCAGTAAGTTGGGCGCTGGCGCTGTACCAAAGTTGTGCGCTCCGCCCCTCTAGCAAGTGCCTTTGTCATATGCGCCCACCCTCGTGTTTTCGTATCTGCCCTGCACAGGCGCGGCCAAGCTGCCAACGGCACACAGTACGGCCCTCTCACCGATGGCCCCGACTGGAGCTACGCTGGTTCGTTTTTAGTCTCGCTGTTTGCTTGGCTTTTGGGGTGGCCAAGCATCGCCAGCAGGTCTCTCATGACGCGCTGATGCTGTGATCCACAAACTCCTTTAGGTATGGACGGTGTGATGGAAGCACCAGAAACCCGGGCACAACGCCGCCGCCGCCTGCGCAGTGCGCGCCAAGAGGTGCGTCGTCTGGCGCCGAGAATAAGCCACCGACCCGCAGCTCTTTGGTGCTGCTTAACCCATGTGCAGCCACCCGTGATTGCATCGGCCCTCATCAAAAATCTGTGCTCCGAGTAGGCGCGTGTTGCCATGCTCCTGGGGGAGTTGAAGCTCGGCCTCGAGACTGAATCAGGCCGTGCGACGGAACGCGTCCGCTGGACAACCCAGAACCAGCCGGCTGAGCCTGTAGATCTGCGCGAGCTCGTCGAGGCAGACAACACCACCAAGCAGCCCCCCTCGGAGTAACTACCAGAGGCTCTTTCTGGACCTATTTTCAAAAGAGGAACCATGCATCACAGTGCTCCAGGGCGATCTGAGGAGCTTTTCGATTTTTGTTCTCCCGCTTCTTCCTGAACGGCCAGGCGATTTAGCGCCCCCTGCATTTTTTTGCTGAACTAGATGTTGTCTCTTGTTTTTGAGCGTCTCCAGCTTGGATCGAATCGGCGTGCGTCATTCGCCGTCTGATCCTCTTTGGTGTCTTGCCTCCGCTGCCTGCCGTCATTTTTTCTTTTCCTTCCTTTCTTTCTTTCTTTCTTTCCTTTTTTTTTCTTTTGGTTTGATGAAGCAGGGAATCAGGGAACCGATGGCAGACCCTTCTATACATATGCCGCAGAGAAAGAAAAAACCAATTCACGTCAACACGCTGAAATGTACTGCCGTCCTCCCCAAGTGAGCTCGTGCCCAGTCTTGGCAAGAGCTCTGCCGAAAAAAAGAAAAATCACACAAATTGCTTTTTTGGGTGATTGCGTGACTCAATGTCAGAAAACTGACACTGATGCTCTGGATCACATCCTTGTCATCAGTCGCCTCGAATTTGCCTCTCTCTCTCTCTCTCTCTCTCTCTCTCTCTCTCTCTCTCTCTCTCTCTCTCTTTCTCTCTCTCTCTTTCTCTCTCTCTCTCTCTCTCTCTCAATTTTGTCGGGCTCAGCAAATGGCAGCTTGAGGGAGAGTGGCGTTACTGACGTATTCCGACTCGCGTCTCAGTCGGCAGCAGAGGCGTGTGAGACAGCGTCTGCCTTGGCCTGTTCTCGCCTGTCGTGGTATGTCATTTGCTCGTACGGAGCCCTGCACGGATCTCATCGCGTGCAGGCGCACAGACAACATTGCAGACAGGACCCCAAAAATTCGGCTCAATCACCACCTTGAGCTCGCAGCGCCGCCACTGTCCCACACACTCACACGCCTTGGGTTCCACGTGATCAATACACATCAATAGAGTGGTGCATGTGTCACTCGGCTTTTGATTTTGTTCGGGAGACTCGGCGATTCGTTGAACGCCAGGTGGGTTGACAAAGGTGGCTGCGAGGTTTTTGGCGGGTGCTTTTGTCGTTGTTTCCTACGATAGATTGAGGGTCGAGCGGGCGGGGCACGCTGACAGCCAGCCGTGCCCCCTGACCTGGCAGTGCGTTCTTGATCAACGCCGTGCCAGCCAACAAGAAATGAAAAGATGAAAAGCACCCCCACCTCAACACGCAGCCCTCACAACCAACTCACAAAGTCATCAACTTGCTGCCCGTGACCATGGCATGCATGTGACAGGAGTGATTGGAGTGCGGCTCCAGACCAGTACCATGGACGACTCCACAGCCAGCTTTGTGCCTCCGTCGCAATCGTTAGCGCAAGCCTTGCACTTTTTGCAGAGCGAATGGAACTGCTTTGCCCGCGAACGCTCCAAATGGCAAATGCATCGCGCCCAAATGGAGGTCCGGCCCCTTGATCATAGGGTTGAAGGACCAACCCTAGAACGCTGATTAACCACCCTTGCTCCCTACAGCGTCTCAACTCATTTGCTGCTGCGCTCGCTTTGCCCGCCAGGCTAAGATTGCGGAGCTCGAAGGTCAGCGCCGGGCGGACGCCAACATCAAGCGCGATCTCCTGCGCCGCGTTAAAATGCTTGAGGCCGCCCTGATCCGCGAACGGTGCGTTGCCGCAAATATGCATGCCAAAGCCATTTCCATTTCACCTTTTGTGCCCAACCTCATCTTCATGCACGCCCTGCAATGTTGCCACAGTACCAAAGACCAGGATGGAACTGCCCCAGCCGGATCCGGTGACATGAGTGCCAAGACAGAGGAACAAGCCCGTGGTAAGCTCGCTCACTGCATGAAACGATCTTTGAAAGCACGTTGTCGAAAGTCGCCTGTCATCCCTACAACCATTTACACGGGTGCCGTGTTGCTCGTGTGTATCTGTTAACACCTGACATTGGTGCCTGGATGTCTGATAGCCGAGCTGGATGCCATTGTTCGCAAACCGCTTGAAGGTACGCTTCGAAACTCGCTCACCTCCTGTTCAAGCACATGCATGGCCAGAAACTTTGGCTCGCTCTCACTTACTGCTGTCACATGGCCCATACGGAAATCTAGCCAAGCTACGCAAGGTGCGCGAGGGCCGGGAAATCTTGGTGAGTTACCTCAAGGAGCTCGGATGCACCCAACGCGTCATCGAAGCCCAGGCTGAGCGCATGAAAGCCGGTGATCCCAGCTGGCCGCCCCGCGGTTTGGAACCCGACAGCTCAGAGTAAGTCTGGCCCCAAACCACACCCAGGCGTGTTTGTGCGCCAGTCCCGACGTTACCTCCCGGGACCCATCCCGAGCCGCATCCGTGCTCATACCTTATCTCTTCTTCCCAGCGCATCGCTGAGTGATATTCCTTCACTGCAAGTTTCACGCCGTGGTACGTCATCGCACCGAGATTCGATCAACACCACCCCGGCTTTGTAATGTGACTCGTACCTGTGGTGACACCTGCCTCCCGTTTCTCTTACTCTGCAGAGGAAACGTCAAGCGATGAGGAGTTGCCCGTGACAGACGAGGTGGATGCCGTCGAGCACCACATGCCTCTGCCCACACTCAACCCCACGGACATGGAGCAGCTGACAGAATCAATTGAGGGCACTGAAGACGCTCAGCATTTGCAGCAGGACGGCGTTGCTGGACAATCAGACGCCGGCGTCGAAGCCATCTCCGAGGCCGAGGCTGCTTTTGACTTTCTCGAGGACGAGCCCTTGGACGAAGACATGTCGGCCAGCGCTGACGAAACCGACGCTATTTTCGCGCCCCGCATCACTGCCACTGGTCAAGGCGCCAACTTGACTGTGCCCGAAGTTGATGCCGGTGAAGGTCAGTTGACGCCTTGGCCAAAACTCTGTGCCAAATCTAGACCCAAGCGACGCCCCAGGACTAACCTATCTGGGTTCACTTTCTTAGCTACAGAGCCACGAGATGGAGTGACATTTGCAGCCCAGGAGACAAGCAAGGGAGCTGAAGCCGATGCTGACGACGACGATGACCCCTTTGCGGACATTGATGATAAGAAGCTTCAGGTATGGTGGACCTGACAGGCATGTGCAGCCATCTGGCGCTCGATGCGTGCCTTCTTGCCTGTCTGCCTCTGTATCCATGTTGATACCCATTTGTTCAGGACAACGAAGCAAAACGTGGCTTGCTTTAACGCCTTTATACCCATGTTCGCTCCTTGAACCTGATGCTTCCTCAGGCCATGGTCAGCAAACAATTTGGCAAAAAAGGCAGCAAGATGATGGCCCGTCTTGGCGGCAAGGGCAAGAGCAAAGGTGCTGAACACATGGTTTTGAGCAAATAGAAACCACGGCATACCCGCAGGCTCGTGACCATGAGTATCAGTAACAATGGCCAACTGACACGTTGCCATTGTCGTGCTTTGGCACGCCGGATGATAGGTCGATCAGGCTCAAGCGGCGCTGCTGCTGTATCAGCACTTTTTGGAGGCACCGAAGGCGACGACGGTACGTCTCGTTGCCGCAGGGCACTATGTGACTAGAAACAGCAGCCAACGAGTACATTGCTGAAACAAGTCTCGCCACTTGATGTTATATAATTTTATGTATTTTTCCATCCATCCTTTTTATTCACTGCTTGTCTTTTGTTGTTGATATCTTTGTTTAGATTTGGGAGAATTGGCTTCTGCTTCGGCCCGGCCAACCTCAACTTTTGAAGATGCAGGTTCGTGGCACACCTCTCCACATGGCATCAGGTGATCATTCGCTCAAGCTTATCCAAAGACACACATCCCGCTTGTCTTGCGTGTGTCTGCAGAACCGGTCGCAGCTGCACAGTCTTCCTCGGCCAGCAGTACGGACACACTCAAGGGCAAGCCGTCCTGGAAGGCCCGTGTCGTTCTCAAACAGTATGTTTCAGTCTCACATGCGCAGATGGTTTTTCAGATGTGGGGTATGCTCTCACCTGTACACTCACGGTGTTTATTGCCACTACGCACAACAGTCACCTAGGCCCCGTGCGCTGCGTTGTGAGCAGTGATGAGGACGATGTGTTGATCACGGGCTCTGATGACTGTACTGCGCGCATCTGGTGGCTGCCTAGCCCGAAAAAGTACGATGACAGGCGCATGTTATATCCATGACGGTGCCGCAACCGCTTTATCCCCAGCTGCTCTGGTTTCAATCTGCCTTCATCTCACCATGGCACGTTTCTCCTGCTTCCCGTGGTCGGGCGCGGATCATGGATCCCGCGAGCAGCAAGGTCGTGTATGACACCAAGCCCACAGCGACGCTGCGTGGTCATACGTAAGATCCTGACCATGCAGCTTGTCTGCTTGCGGTTCATTTTTTCTCGTTCATTTTCCTTCTGCCTTGTTCTGTCCTGTGAGCTTCTTCTCAATCGCTCACAGAGGTATCATGGTGTGTCACGTTTAACCTCCTCTCATCCGTTTACACAGAGGCCCAGTCTTGGCGGCTTGTATTACTCCGGACGTTGACTTTTGCTACACGGGCTCGGCTGACGGCACAATTCGTAAGGCCCCCACCTGCTCGCGCCCTTCAATCCCTTCTATCCCTGGGCCCTGCACGATGCTTACGCATTTGCTTGCTCGCACTTGCGCACGCACTCTGGCCGCTCGTGGGCGGTGGGGCTACGTGTTGCTTGTAGGATGCTGGAAACTGCCCGATGAGGACTTTGATGCCTGTGAAAAGTATGAGCCACTCGAGTACAGCTGTTTTAAGGGGCATCGCGGCGCTGTGACAAGTTTGTGTCTGGTGGATGAAGCCACGCTCGTCTCAGCCAGCAACGATGGCACCTGCATGTACGTGATATGCACTCCAGCGCCACACCAGACTTGTGCACAGTGCCAGTCATCCCAGCAGTCTCACGTGGCCCGCGATCTGCACAGGATGTGGACGACACACGATGGTAGCTGCATTGCCGAGTGGCAATCTCCAGACGAGGATTTGGCCACCCCGACTTGGTAAGGGGTGTCTGGCGGCTAGGTTGCTCACTTGTCGGCTCGTGGCGGCTCGTGGCGCGTGGCGCGTGGTCTCCTCTTGAGCTGTCCCAAGGTTTGACTTGTATTTCATCTGACCCTGGTGTTTTGAACCTATGGGGGATTTTGAAACGGTGCTCGGACTATCAGTGTGTCTTTGAACCGCCATAACCCTCACCCAGGTCCTGGTGGCCTACGATACGGGCAAGTGCTACATCTACG